GGCAAGTTGGGCTAGTAGCTTTTTGCAAGGTTGGTCTACAGGGTCTCATTGGGGGTAGTATTAACATGGTGCTGTGTCCCTGAGGCCATTTGGTAATGAACATTTCACAGTGATGAGAATGAGGATGGTGATGACAGGACAGCCACAGGCAGAATGGGCTTATCTTACCTCCTGGTGTTTCTACAACCTAGGAACTCTGGCATGGGGCTGGCCCTGGTGTGATTATTCTGCCTTGCATTAGAAGGATTTTTAGCTAAATACCTTTGGGGTTAGGCAGGTACCACAAACGAGCGAAGAAGGCTGGATGTAAGAGTCCTAGCATTCCAGTCACATTTAGTTTTCACTGTTAAAACTGATAGCCTCCATATTCAGTAAAGGAAAGGGAAGGTTGGAGGAGACTTTTGTGACCTGGAGAATACATGTTCTATTTCAAGAGGACAATTGCCACTTGGTTCCAGCCCTCTGCTGCCATGTGGGAACCAAGCCCAACACTGCCAGATCTGCTGATTTTTTTTCTAGAGAAGTCAGAGTCTGGATTTTTATCTGGATGTGCCAGATTTTCAAGTGTTGGAGAACAAAATAGTTCTGCAGGTTAGATGTGGCTGATGGGCTACCACTTTGCAGCTTCTAATGTAGAAGTTTCTGCTTGGAAACATTTCTCTTAGGAAAATGGCTCCTTCCTCCTCCAAGAGCCAGCGATGCTCTCTGAGCTGCCATGTCCTGGGAGCCCTGGCTTGAGATGGAGTTGGGCTTGGAAAAGGTGGAGAGATAGGAAATAGCTGAGAAGGAAGAGTTTGGAATCTGCCATAGGGCTCAAGCCTTTCTCCCTGGATTTTCCTGGCAGATCACCAGCCCACCTGCTTGCTTCAAACCGAACTTTATCAAGGTAAAAGAGTGCTACTGTGGCATCCACCTACCCTGAAGATGTCATCTTCGGAGGCAGCAGACACAGCCTCCTTCATGGCTTTGTCCAGCTCCTCCTCAGCTGTCAGGTCTCCAGAGATGGCTCGTCGAATCTCGGGCCCGATGTCATGTAGAGTGCGCAAGCCAGCCTGGAACCCAGAGGAGCTTGTGAGTGCCCTGGCACGCCCCCGCCCAGCCACCTGACCCTGTGTCTCTGCACCGCTGAGAGCCTCTGAAGGTATATCCATGTGTGCCAACCAGGGCATGTGCCTCGGGACCACTCTTGTCTGCCCCTGAGTGGAAGAATCCATTCACCTCCCAGAGAAAGATGAAGGCACTGAGAGGCTATCAGGGAGCTTCAGTTGGACTCCAAAGAGCTTGGGGTAGGGCTGTGGAGCAGGCAAGACTCCGGAGGGCAGTGTGTGTGGGAAGCACGCAAGAGGGAAAGGAGTATGTCCCCCCTTCAAACATCCACCTTCTGAAGGGATTTGGCCTCCGGCCCACTGGCGAGTGACCCAGACCCAGAGGTCAGAGGGAGGTGACCAGGCCTTCCTTGGGCTGTGGCCCCCTCCTGGCCCCTCACCTGCAGGGACAAGGCATTCCTCTGGGAGGGCTTGCCCACGAGGCCCTGTTCTTTGCGCTTCTTGAATTTCCGGAAGTACTCTTGGATCAGGAAAGTAGCATAAAACTTGCCAACCGTGACCTCATCATCTGAGATGATCGAAGAGAGGACAGGGAATTGGAGGTGAACAAAGAGAATTCAGTTAGGCTTCATTAATTTTTCTTTAGCATCCAAACTTTAAAATTTTTTAATTTAATTTTTTGAAGAGATAGTACATTCTTGTGGTTCGAAAAGAAAAAAAAAATATAAAAAGTTATATAGCGAAAAGTCTTTCTCCCAACTAGTCCCATCTGCCAGCTTACCACCTCCTAATAGATAATCTTTTTTATTAGTTTCTTGAGTATTTTCCCTCAGATTCTTTATGCAGATGTTTTCTGCAAATAAGCATATTCTTATCCCCCCAATAGTCTATAGACAATAGTCTATTGTCAAAATTACTTCCCATCTTGCTTTTTTTTTTGTTGTTTTTTACTTAACTGATATTGCTAACATGTTCATATTTGATTCCAAAACTTCAGACGCCCATCATAAATCGACCAGTCTCTTACGTAAAAACCTGCTTAAAGGTTGGCGGGATGGGTTGGTGGAAGGAGCACCTTCCTCCTGTCTAAATTTAGGTATTTATTCCAACCAGACAGGTTAGGTTTTCTTACATGTGGCTTGGCTGGGTTCCTGTTGGCTGGGCCCGCAAGTTACCCATGACATAATCGGCCCCTGTCTTGGGAATGAAATACATGGTAGTGAAGCCAGTAAGTCTCCAAGGGGAATATTTCATGACCCATAAGGAGCCCTTTTGCTCCATCTTCTAGCTTTCTGTGAAGGACAGGGCAATAGGCCCGGGGGACAGCTGGCTGGGTCAGATCTAGGGGCTTGTGCTAGTTCTCCTGCTTCAAGTTGTCCCCTAAAGATAGCCAAATTCACAGCAGCAATGGCCTTCCACCTGGGAAGGGCCTCATTCCCCTATGGGAGGAAAGACCCCTGAGCCCCTGTCCCGGGTCATCAGGGAGGGGTCGCTACAGGAGAAAGAACTCAGAGCTCTGGTATCCCTCAGACATGGGTTTGAATCCTGAATCTGCTAGGTGCTCAGCAGGGAGCCTTGGATCAGCCACTTAGCTTCTAAAAACTTTGATTCCTTGAGCAAACTTCATAGAAATGTTATAAAGAATAAATAAAATATTGTATGTAAAATGACAGGTGATGCTCGGTCTGCTAGGTGACCCATCACTTAGCCCCGGACCTGCCTTCCTTTTGGGAAGTGGTTCTCAACAGGGGTGGCATCACCTTTAAAAGGGGTGTTTTGGGAATGTATGGAACTTTTTTAGTTGTCACAGTGATTGTCAGGGGTGCTACTGGCATTAAGTGGTGCTAGATGTGTCTCTTAAAGCACAGGAGTGTTTTGCTCAACACTCCTAGCTTCTTACTCTGCACGTCTTTCAAGTGTCATGCTAGACATCCACGAAGGGGAATAACCTGCTTATGAGTGTCTGAGCTAAAAATCTAACTGGGTTTTACCTGTGAACATAAAAAACATTTTTTTGCATGATTTTAATATAACCCGAATTGTCCAGAAATATAATTTTTGTGTAAATTGACAAAGGACCTTGTTTTGTTTCAACTTGACCAAGAGAGATTCTCATTTTGGAAAACCGTATCCCTGATGGCATAGATCCTTGTGTTATATGAGTCATCCCCTGTTTCTGACTTGCCTGGCTCGGTCTGCGTTTGTTCTATGTATGTACACATATGTAGGTGTGTGTATATGTGTGTGTACATATAATTATTTAGATATACTTAGCTCTTCAAAATGACAAATACAAAATGTCGACAATATTCCATATTGTTTTATTTCCTTTAAACACACTTATTCATCATAAGTGGGTGCATGCAAGCATTTCCTCAGTTAATTATAACTTCTGGCAAAGTCGTGCCTGAGCAGTTATATGTTGAAAAACCTTTTATTTTAATATTTTTATGTTAGAGGTAAATCATTATATTAATATTTTAGAAATTATATATGTAGGAAGGTAACATTATCAATGATTTTCATTCAGGATAGTAGTAGGGACATTAGAAACTATTTGTTACAAAAAGGGGCTTTGGGTTTCACAGGGCCGAGAAACACTGTCCTAGGAAGAACAAAAAGAATTTCCACCAAGGTGGGATCTCAGGGCCCCATTATTCCAAGAGCAATCAGTGCAGTGGTTCATGGGGAAATCTATACTTCACAGAGTTTCCTTGGAAGTTATGCCAGACCTCTGAGCATCAAGCACGGGGCCTTGTCTGGCCTCACTTGTGAAATGCAGAACTGGGCCAGATGTCTAACCTGACAGCCTGTATCTGAGTTTGTGAAGGGCGTGGCACCCTTGTCCCTCCTCATCAGTAGGGCCACGGGTACGGTCTGGGGAAAGCAGGCTTCTTGCAAGCCTGGAGGACTCAAGAATCAGACAAGTGCCAAGTGTGGGGAGATCAGGGAGCACCTACCGCCTGCGGGGGGCACCACCTGGTCCAGCAGCTTCATGCTGGTCCGCTTCCAGATCTTCTTGATTATGGCTCGCAACTCCTCGTTGGCTTGTTCCAGGTTCCCTGACGGGAAGGAGATGCAAGGCTGAAATGATCATCAGCGCCTTGGAGGGCCCCCCATGGGGTGGGCGCTGAGCATAAAGTGCCCCACAAATAGCTCCAATCCATCGTTTCACTTTCTTTCTCCCCAGTCTTCCCATTGTCCGCCTCTGTCCTCCTCTGTGCATTCTGCTCCGTCTCCCTTCCTTGCCCCTTCCCTCTCGAGCCCTGTCCAATGCCGTTCCTTTCCTTTCTTCCCTGGCTGCTGCTCAGGCCAGCCAGTGGCACCCTGTCTCCCCACACATTACTTTCTTTTCCTTGTGGGTGGCACTTAGTGCTGACAAGACTGCTGGTGCCGGACTGAGCTCAACAGCCACCCGCCTGAGAGCACCAGGGCTCTCCATGGATGGCGTTTCCCACAGACCCCCGTGGGCCGCCAGGGAAACGTGGATGACTGGAAGGAAGAGCAGTCTCCCCCACAAACCCGTGTACAGCGTCCATTGGCAGGGGACCTCTGTGTCAAAGCCCTTTGCTGAGCCCCCTGTGGGGAGCAGTATGGAAGCAGAAATCAGAAGACATGGGTTCTCTGGGTCTACTTTCTCTGGTGGTGAAAAAGGCTTAATTAGATGCTATCCCATGCAGTCTCTGGGATACTGGCCTTATAATTCTGAAAAAGGAAAGCTGAGACCTGCAGCTGTAAGAGAGAATGTAGTAGGCATGATTCTAAGATGCCTCCAACCTATCTCCCTCCACCACTGATATGTACACATCCTGCATAATCCTTGGGAATGCGAATAGGATGGATTTTACCTCATGGCTAAGTTATAGTATATGGCACATATGACCTTAAGATAGGGGGATTACTTAGGTGGGCCTGACCTAATCACATGAGCTCTTTAAAAGTAGAGAGTTCTCAGGTACAAACTCCAGTTATAAAATAAATAAGTCCTGGGGATGTGATGTACAAAACAGTGACTACAATTAATAGTAACATATTGCATATTTGAAAGATGCTAAGAGAGTAGATCTTAAAAGTTCTCATCACAAGGAAAAATTTGTAACTATGTGTGGTGATGGATGTTAATTACACTTATTGTGGTGATCATTACAATATATATACATATCAAATCATTATGTTATACATCTGAAACTAATATAATGTTATGTGTCAATTGTACCTCAATAAATAACAAGCCAAACGAAAGCAACCAACCAACCAAATAAAAAAATAATGTGTGAAGGGGGTCAAAAGATAACAGTAGAGGGTTCTTTCCAGCTGGGAGCAGGAGGTATGAGAGAGATGGCTGCCAGGCCTGGAAGAAAGCACACACTCCTGTTGTGAATGGAGCTGAGACAGGCAGCCTCTAGGGGCTGAGCGGTCTCTAGCTGAGAACCAGCCCTACAACTGTGAGAAATGAACTTGCCAACAACCTGAATGAGCCAAAAGTGGATTCTTCCCTGGAGCCTCCAGAAGACATACATCCTGATCAAGATCCTGATTTTGGCCTTGTAAGACCCTGGGCAGAGAACTCAGCTACTCTATGGCTGGACTCCTCACCTACAGAACTGTGAGCTAATAACTGGGTGTTGTTTTAAGCCAAAAAATTGTGCTAATTGGTTATGCAGCAATAGGAAACCAACATAGGCATACTTCAGAAGTACTGTGGGTTTGGCTTCAGACCACTGAAATAAGGCGAGTATCACAATCAAGTGAATATCGCAATAGAGCAAATATTGCAATAAAGTGAGTCACAATTTTTTGGTTTTCCAGTACATACAGAAGCTATGTTTACAGTATACTGTATTTCTAGATAGCATTATGTCTAGAAAAAACAATGTACATACCTTAATTAAAAAATACTTTATTGCTAAAAATGCTAAACATCCTCTGAGCCTCCAGTGAGTTTTAGTCTTTTTGCTGGTGGAGGGTCCTGCCTCGATGTTGACGAAAACGTGCTATCTTTGAAGTGCAACCGAGTGAAGCACAGTAAAGTGGAGTGTACCCTGTGGGACTGTTCACTGCTGTGGGGGCCGCGTGGTCCAGAGCCCTGCTGTCAGAGCCTGACTCAGAGGCCGTGCTAGAGAGTCTTCCTTGGAAGGAAGCCCAGCAGGGGCAAGCAGAGCTGGCAACGGAGAGAGTGACTGACTCCTGAGTCCCCTGTATGAACGTGGGAGCCAAATAGTACCTGAAGCCAGAGGATGATCCTGGGTTTTCTAGTTACGGAAGGGGGTCCTTCACCGTTAAGGTGATCGGTGGTTCCTGACATGTGCAATGAGAGTCCGAATTAATGTAACACTCAAATAGGTTTATCTTCTGCAGTGGGTTGAATAGTGTAGAAATTGAGTCTTTGTAGATGCGGTTAGTTAAGATGTGGTTGCACTCAGGGTGGGCCCTACGTCCAATATGACTGTGTCCTTGTAAGATGAGGAGTCACACGGAGACACATAGGGAAGAAGGCCACATGGAGGTGGAGGCAGAGACTGGAGTGACATGGCTATGAGCCAGGGAACGCCAAGGCATTGGTGACCACCAGAAGCGAAGAGAGAGGTGTGGAACAGATTCTCCCCCAGAGCCTCTGGAAGGGATCGCCCCCTTCCCTCACCTCAACACCTCGCTTTTGGACTGCTGGCCTCCTGGACTGTGAGAGAAAAAATTTCTGTCTTTTTAAGCACCCAGTTTGTGATAATTTGTTATGGCAGACCTAGGCAACGCATCTTTCATATTTTTTAAGCCTCAATTTATTCTCACAGTGATCTATGAAACTGTGGAACTTCATAAACGGGTGTTTCACATCATTTAGGTATTTTAAAATATCTTTCTTCTACATTCCGAAGGTTTGTTTGGCTTGGGACTGGCTTTCTAAAGTAGGTGTTAATTTCTCTCTCATTCCTTCCCCTCTCAAAAGTCTGAAGGGTAAGGACTGATGAAGACTTATCTTCACAAATTTAGATGCTTTCTCACATTTCTTTCTAGTTGCTTCTAAGAACTTGACTTTGTCTTCTAGACTTAAGAAATTAACACATTTGAGGGAGACTTGTCTCTGATGAAGGTTTGCTTCTGAGTTGGCACTGTAGGCCCTTTGGTAGCTGTTTTTTGTTTGTTTTTTTTTTAATTTTATTGTATTGAAGTACGAACACTTAACATGAGATCTACTCACCTAACAGAATTTTAAGTGTACAATGCAGTGTTCTGACCTAAAGGGACAATGCTGTGCAGTAGATAAATGTCTTTGTGTTTAAAGTTTTCTTTAATTCTTAACTGTAGTTTCCATGTGGCTGGCTTGTCTCTGGAACACTTAATTCCTTGAGACTAAAGATGGGTATTGGTTATTTTGGACCAGCTTCTTTTGCACTGTGATTGGCAGTTGGTATTCTTCAGCTGGGTCTTGGTTTGCTCTGACAACACATTTTCAGCAGTGAGGAATCTGGCTTCAGTGTATCACTGTTTTTCATTCCTCCATGGAATGAAAATTTATATCCTCAGTTTACATCAGGCTTTAGGCATCACAAGCATATTCCTACTAGGAGTCATTATATCTTCTCTCCTTTGGAAAATAATCTTTCCTCCTGGACATAATTGTAGTAGTCATTGTAAAAAACTTGGAAAGTAACTAAAGGAAGAAGGTAAAAGTCACTGCTCATTCTCCCACTAGTGATAATCAATGTTAACACTTTAATGGATTTCCTTCCAATTTTTCTCCTAGTTACACACACACACACACACACACACACACACACACACACACACGTACATTACATGTGTGTTTGACTCTTGCAGTGTCAGAAATAGGCTTACTTATACTTCAGATTGAGCTATTGCACTGGCTACTGAGTATATTCTTTAGCCTTTGTTTCTTTTTAGTTTAGCAGCAGAACTTGAACTAATTTTAATTTTTTAAAGAGTAGCTCATTATTTTGACATGCATCTTGCTGGCCTGTTTTTGTTTTCTCGTTTCCCTTCATTTCAAATGTTTCTACTGTTTTTTGGAATGCTTTAACTGAGAGAAGGCGCCTCTCTGGGTTATTTGCTGAACTGAATTCCCACATAGCTTCTCATTACTTGTCTTATTTTACAAATAGAACATGGTATCAGATTCAGATTTCCCACCTCCCTGCCCAGCATGCCTTCCATTGCACCAAAGGAAAACACCATGGGTGGCAGACTGAGACTCTAAGATTGAAGCATAAGAAGGGAAAGAAGACATATGCTTGTTTCATCTGTGTTTTCTCTGATTATTGTGTGAGAGGGTTTCAAACCTTAGTTCCTGTATGAATCATAATGCAGCTGGTTCAACATGCAGATAGATCCCTGAGCCCTGTTCCGAGACTCAGATTTGGAGACCTGGGCTGGTGCTTGGGACTTAGTATTTTAAACAAGCTCTAATAGTTGAAGCTGAGGCAGGTGGTCTTTTGACCACATTCTACAAAACACCATAACAGGCTGGAAACTCTTGGAGAGCAAGTATATTTTCTTAGGTACACTTCATAGAGCGTTTTCCACAGATGGTTCAGAAATACTTATCAATTATAAGGACAGCTGACTATCTCAGCCAAAGCTGCTGCTAGCCCCTAGGGCGCCATTGTGCAAACTAGAAGAAGGTGTCCCTCCAGGCGGACATAGTCCCGAGGGAGCATGGCCTGCCTGGGGGACCACAGGTGAGATTTTAACCCATACCTGTTGGCTGGCTGGGTACCTTGTGCTATCCAATTGTATGCGATGACCTCGATCACAGTCACCATTTGCCACTATGACCCCTTCCCAACACAGGTCTTTTTAATTTAAAAGAGAGTTGAGCATTTGAGAGGCCTACTTGCAGCCAATAAAATTCCATTTAGGTAGGGCTTGGTCCTGCTTCAGGGAACACTCATCACCTTCTGCTTTCTGAGCTATACCCTATGATTTCAAGATATCACCCAGAATAATCTGTAGGTTTTGATGGCAAGCTAGGGTTCTAAATAAATAAGCTAGAGGCAAGGAGGCCATTCAAGAAGCAAAGAAGACATGACTAGGCCTCTTTAATGTCCCCAGGTGAAGGTAATCACTGAACCACAGTTCTTATGCTGTACAGGAGGGCAAAGCCCTGGGACACTGTAGGCTGCTGAGTTCCCCTCTGGTTGGTCTGCTTGATCTTCTGAGCGGCTCTTCCAGTGGCCTGTGGATGATTCTTACCTTCTGTTTTGATCCTTAGGGCTGTCCGGACCAGGGCAAACAGGGTGGCATTGAACATGACTGTCCCATCGCTGTTCAGAGGCATGTTCATGGAGACCAGGCGCTGAAGGGAAAGGAGAGGCAAAGCTGGTGATTACAGCCAGTGGCTCTCAAAGGACACACTGAACCACCACGGCAAGAGGATGCTGCGAAGGAGCTTTGACAATTGTGTGCGTGTGTCGGGAGCAGGGGCAGGTGGGGATAAGCATGGTCGCTGAAAGGTATTTAAAACCTGTTCTGGGGAGAATCTTGGCTCTGCCACGAGTACTCTCACCCACTGCAGAGAGAGAGAGAGAGGAATGGAATCTGTCTTTATTAGACCCTTGCTTCCAACCCCCTTCCCCGCTCAAATGTTGCTCAGGCAAATGGGCGTGTTCTCTACCGGCAACAAAGAATAGCTGTGTGCAGACATTTGTTGGGTGCCCACATGCCAGCCAGCATTCATCCCAAGTCCCAACAAGAGAGACCATAACGGGAGGGTTGCTTGCAGGAGGTGCAGTGCAATTTCTGTATTTTGAAAAATCTGCCTCTACATCAAGCTGGATCAGAAGCTTGCTGACACTGGATAGGATTGGATTGCCCTCTTCCCTCCTCTCCCACTGCCCCCAAAATTGCTGCCACTGCACTGTGCTCGGTGTGGGGCCCTTAGCACACACCAGGGTCATTATGAGAAAGAGCACCATGAAATTCATTCTGGCATCTGCTCTCAGGATGTGGTCAAGGATATTATTCATTAGATCACAAGGTGTTTTCCCGTTAATCATAGTGCCAGGAAGGGTTATAAATACCCTGAGTGACTGGATCTCTGTGATTCTCATGGACAGTGTGAATTTTATAGTGGTCACTGGGAAGCTTAACACTTAATCCGCAACCTGTCCAGGCCTGTCTGGAGGCCTGGGTAGACACGTTGCAGCCTCGTGTGGGCAGCACTCATCCCTGCTCTTGTTTTCCACTCGGCTTTACCTTACATTTATTTAATTTGTGCTCTTTTTTTTTTCTAATATCTTCTAAACCCTTGCAAATCTTCTAAAAAAAAATGTTTTTTGGACCGAAACGGAGGTACAAGTGAGAAAAAACTGAGTTCCACACAGCACAGGTAGAAGGTTCTATGTTCCTTCAAGTGTCCATTTTCCATGAGCGGATTATCCACAGAGCTGAATTTTTCTATTTGTGTTTCTACAGCTCTCCGACACCACTTCCCCCCAGGCCTTTTCAGCTTGCTATTATTGCAACACGGAATATAGAAAGGTGATAATGGGACTTGAAAAAAGAAGGGAGAGAGGAAATGATACTCTTCAGCAAATGCTGGGCTCCAAGGTTGGGATTACAGTGAGGCAAGAGAGGTGCCTGGGCACACAGTTTAGGGGGCACTCACTCTCCAGGCCATGCAAGGGCCACAGAGGCAAGAGTTGGGTCTAGCAGAACCTAGGGTGTTTGTCTTAACCTTTTTTGGGTCATGGACTCACTTAGCAATCTGAGGAAACCCTCTCCCTGGTACAATTTGTGAGTGTTCCAGTGGTTCTGTGTACAATTTCAGGGCTTTGAGGACCTATGAAGCCATTGTGTGCACTCTCTAATGGCCTGCTGGTCCCGAGATGGCACCCTAATCCATCCACCCTAGAATGGACATCTTCCAGGTTGTCTGGGTGGTGCAGCTTGATGGGGCAGCACATTCTGCTCTTAATGGAGTCCTTCGTTCAGGACTGGGCACATGGCTCCCTGCAGTATGAGGTGTTCACTTATTTTTCCTTTACAGAATCTGAGAACTTATTGCTGGAAGGAACCTTAAAACATAACCTGGCTCAGGCTCATTTCTTTGGCACATAAAATATTGTCTTCACTCCCTTAAAGGATCAATGGCCTGACCAAGGTCACAAGACAAACAGGCATCTTGCCTCCCATATTGTCTTTCTTTCTCCCGTGAACCCAGGTCATCTCTTACTTTGCAAGCCACGCGGTGAGGGCACAGCTTCCCAAAACCCAATGGGGGCTGAATCCGCCGGAGCAGGGTCACCACGTCTAGGTGTTTGATACGACCCCTAGGAGAGGAAGGAGAGAGAAAGGTCAGTCAGGCCATGGTCTCGGCCACCAGCCCAGGACTCATGTACCTGAGAGGTGGGAGCCCATGTATATGAGGAACTCTCCATAGCTGTAGTAGCCCTATTGGTCAAACTCAGTGCAGAGTTGCAGAATTGCATGGTAAAACTCCAAAAGCAATGTGTACATGTTTAGATTTTAATAGGCAATTTTCCAGTGGTGCTGTGTTCAAGGTGGAAAGGATTTTCGTAGTGCAATGAAATTCTCAACACCTACTTGCTGCGTTAGTTAACTAACCACTTGACCAAAAGGTGTTTGTTGAGTGTCAGTCAAATGTGATTGATTGACAAGACTGTCCTTGGACCTGAGGCACGAATGGAGTTGAGATCTACCTGGCCATAAACATCCTAATTGAGTACCTACCAGTTATTCCTATATAACACTAGGACCTCTTATTTTTCCCTTCAACTGAAAATAGTAGATATGTTCTTGACTTAGCCAAAGATACCTGGCCTCCGATTACTGGGCCTTGATCTTGACCCTGGGGCCTGGTGTAATTCAGAGTTTCCCACCGATCCACCCAATGCTAACCTGTCTTGACCCTCTTCTACAGAAACGGTCGCTCAATCCTCTCTCTCAGCTTTGGGAATCAGAATTTCCCTCTGGGAACTTACTTGGCTTCAGGGTCATACTCTGCCCAGATTCTTTTAAATTCATCCAGATGGTGGGGACCAAGGATTGACCAGTCCCTTGTCAGGTAGTCAAAGTTGTCCATGATGACAGCTACAAAGAGGTTGATGATCTACAGAGCACAGAGATTATGATGAGTCCCCTAAGAGGACCTTCGTGCACACTTGAATTCACTTTGCCAGGAGTGCCATGCATGGCAGAAGCCAACATTTCTAAAGACCAGCCATATGTCACCATTTACAACACCAGCCCCTGGAACTCGGGCCTCTTGGATGTGAACTTGACACAGCTGCCCTCAGAGTTGTACTAGGCTGCTGGGTAGGGCTGTCAAGGACAGAGGGTGACTTTATCCACCACCTTTCTCTCATTCCCCTTCACAGTGCCGAAAAAGTCTAAGTTGCCTCTAAGCCTCCCCAGATATCTCCTCTGTCCTCTGGTCAGTGACACCATGACAAGAGCCAAGAATGGACGAGAGAGATGCTGGTTGAGCTTGCGCTGGCCCAGGCTTTCTGCCCTTATCTCAGTGTGGCTGGATGTTCCTACTGACTCAGTCGTTCCACGCGAGCTGCTCCACTGGGGTCACCCTGACCGTGAGCTGCAGAGATGGCGGGCTCGGGCTGCCCTGACTGGCACGCTCATTCCCCGTAGCTGTTTAGTCCCACCTCAGCTCACCAGGAAGGCACAGAGCATGTAGAAGCTGATGAAGTAGAAGACGGCGAAGCTGCTGCCACAGGGTGTCTCCCCTTCTGTGCTGTTGCTGGGCTCCGACTCTGGGGCACACTTCTTCCCTGGCATGCAGGCCAACATGATGTCCTGCCACGCCTCCCCGGTGGCACACCTGAGGCAGAGAGGTGGGAGAGCCCAACACCCATGGAGCCAGGACCGCACCTCTGGCTCCTTCCCCAGCTCCTTGCTCCTGCCCCTTCCCCAGAAGGAATAGCTAAACTGAATTTGGTGTTGATCATTCCCTGAATGCTCTGATAAGCTCCCTAAATATGAAAATACTTACCATTGTATGTATTTTAAAACTTTATATAAATAGAAACTTTATATAAATAGAAACAAACTGTACCTTTCTGAAAACTCTTTTTGTAATCCATGTTAAATTTCTGAGATTTAGCCATCTGGATACGTTTGAGCTCTAGTTCATTCATCTTAATTGCTGTACAGGTATATACTCTATGAACATACCATTTAAAAAATCCACCCGCCTGCTAAGGTTTTTCTTTTGTTTCGTTTTTTGCTGATACAAGTAACACTGTGGTAAACACACAGGCCTGTGTCTAGGACATCTGTTTAGCAGTGGAGTTGCCAGTTGATCGTAGGTGTGTCTTCATCTTTACTAACTGCTTGTTCTCCAGGTGGTTTGTCCAGTTTATACTCCTGTCAGCAGTGCGGAAGAGACACCACCGCTCTACAGACTTGCCAACTCTTTTTATCTTTATTGAGGTATAACCGACAAAACTGTAAGATGTTTAAAGTATACATTGCGTTGATTTGATGTACATATCCATTGTGAAAGGATTCCTCCCACCTAACACATTGATCACCTCACAGATTTATCTTTTTTATGGATGTGTGAGAACATTTACTCTCTCAGCAAATTTCAATTGTACAATACAGTATTATCACTATCCTCAGACCTTACTCACCTTATAACTGAAAGTCTGTATCCTTTCGTCGACCTATCCCTATTCTCCCACCCCCCAGACCCTGGCAACCACTTTCGTACTCTTTTTCTAAGAGTTTAGATTTGTCAATATCAGTGAATTTTTAAAAATGTTGCTCATATGATGGATGTGAAATGATATTTCATTACTGTTTTAATTTGGTTTTAAAATGACTAATTGGTTAAGAATTCTTATTTCATCTTCTGTTGAATTGCATGTTCATATTTTTGCCTGCTTGTCTCATGGATTATTCATCTTGTTTGCTCATAGGATTCTTTCTATAATATTTTTCATATTAATCCTTTTTCAGTTACATGCATCGCAAGTAACTTCTCCCAGTCTGTGGCTCGTCTTTAGTTTTATTTATGATGTGTTTTGATAAATCTAAATTTTAAATTTCAATGTGATCAAGTTTATAGTTTTTCTTCTATATTTTTAAGTTTATAATTATTTTATAAATTTTTCCTGTTTTTTTGCATCTTTTAAAAAATATTCTTCTCTATGTCATAAAATATTCTCTTATATGTTCTAAAAGTTCTAAAACTTTGTTTTTTGTAATAACCCATTAATCTAAAATTTATTTTTGTGCTCGATATAAGGTAGAAATATGCTTCCTCTTTTTCTGTATAGATAACCAATTTTCTAAATACTGATTTGAAATATTTCTTCTGATATTAATTATATTTTCATAGATATGTGGGTCTCACGCTAGCCCTTTCATTCTATTCCACAGGTTTATTTTTCTTACCTGGTACCAATGTATCACATGGCCTTAATAACTACAACTTTATAGTTAAGTCTTGCTCTCTCATAGAGAATGACTCTGTCCAGCTTCAAAACTGTCTTGGCTATTCCACAGACATGGTAGAATCAGCTTGTCAAATTCCATGAATAATCCTGTTCTGTATTTTACTGAAATTGCATTAAGATATAGATTAACTTGGGGAATTTGACATCTTTGTGATATTAAGTCTCTTAGCCATAAACATGACTTATCTCTTTATTTAGGCCTTATTTCATATCTTTTAATAAAATTTTATAATTTCCTCATATGTATCTTTTGTTAGGTTATTTCTATGTATCTTATTTAAAATAAATAAAATGTTCTATTGTAAATGAACACTTTGGCTATTCACATTGGCTATTCACATTTAAAAAGTTATATTTTCTCTTTGCAGCTGATGTAAAGAAAATACAATTGATTTTATGTACAGAAGATTCGTTGAACTTTCTTCTTAGTTGAGCAGTTTCTCTTGTGTAGTCTCGACAGGCAATCATTTTTTAAAAGGTGTTGTATTTGTTTGTTTTATTTTTTATGTGTGTATTTTCTGTGTAAAATACACATAACAAAACTTACCATCTTAGCCATTTTTAAGTGTACAGGTTAGCAGTATTAAATATATTTACATCATTGTGAAGCCATCGCTACTACCCATCGCCATAACTCTTTCATCTTGTAAAATTGAAACTCTATGCCTATTAAACAATAACTCTCCCAAATCCTGACAATTCACTATTATAATTTGTCTTTATGAGTTTGACTAAGTATCTCATTTAAGTGGAATCATACAGTATTTGTATTTGTGTAACTGGCATATTTCACTTAGCATAATGAACTCAAGATTCACCTATGTTGTAGCATATTGCAGTATTTTCTTCCTTTTTTAAGGAAGAATAATATTCCATTTTATGTATATACTACATTTTGCTGATCTATTCATTGATCGATGGACACTTGGGTTGCTTCTACATTTTAGCTATTGTGAATAGTACTGCTATGAACATGGGTGTAGAAATATCTTTCCAAGACTCTGCTTTCAATTCTTTTGGCTATATCCCCAGAAGTGGAATTGCTGGATCATATGATCATTCTGTTTAAATCTTTTGAGTAACCACCACACTGTTCTCCATAGTGGTTGTACTGTACCATTTTATATTCCCACCAACAGCATACATAGTTTCCAATTTCTCCACTTGATGTTTTTTGTTTTTTTTTTTTGGTAGTAGCCATCCGAATGAGTGTGGGGTAGTATCTCGTTATAGTTTTTATTTGCATTTCCCTTATGATTAGTGATATTGAGCATCTTTTCATAAGCTCATTGGCTATTCACATATCTTATTTGGATAAATGTTTATTCGAGTCTATTTTTAAATTGAGTTTTTGTTGTTGAGTTTGGCAATCATGTTTTTGGCTTTTAATTTTGTTTCTTCTCCAATTCTTACCCTTTGATTTATTTTTCTTATTTTATTGCATTGGGTAAAACTTGCAGTATAATGTTAACTAAAAAACGTGATAACATATGATCTTCTCTATTATATTTACTAGTTATTAGCTGTTATGGACTGAATGTTTGCGTCCCCCCAGAATTCATATGTTGAAGCCCTAAACCTCAATGTGAGAGTATTTGCAGGTGGGGCCTTATGAGGTAATTAGGTTTAGGTGAGGTTTAGGCTAGAACTCCCATGATGAGGTTAGTGTCTTTATAAGAAGAGGAAGAGAGAACAGAACTCTTTCTCTCTCTCCACAGTATGAGGACACAGTGATAAAGTAGCTGTTTGCAGGTCAGGAAAACGGCTCCAACTAGGAACTGAATTAGCCAAGACCTTGATCTTGATCTTCTAGCCTCTAGAAGTGTGAGAAAAAAATGCCTATTGCTTAAGGCACCTAATCTATGGTATTTTCTTTCAGCAGGCTGCCCAGCCTAATACATTATCAGTGCAGGAATGTGATTGTGGGTTTCTTTTTTTAAATTTTTTTCAAAAAATCTTTAATTAATTATTTTTTCCTATTTATTTATGTTTATCAGGGTAACAATTATATAATTTTCAGATATACATTATAATTTGACATCTATATATTCTATTGTGTGATACCACCGAGAGCCCAGTTTCCTTCAGCTACCATATATTTGATCCCCTTTACTCACTTCACCCTCCCCCAAACCCCTTATATTTGACCCCCTTTACCCCGTCTACCTCTTTCCTCCTCCCCTACTCCCTATCCTCTGGTAACCACTAGTCCATTGTTCATGCCCATGAGTCTGTTTGTTTGTCCTGTTCATTTGTTGCTGTTAGGTTTATATCCCACATATGTGATATCATGTGATTTTCAACCTTTTCTGTTTGGCTTATTTTGCTTAGTATGATTACTTTAAGGTCCTTCCATGTTGTTGCAAATGTCAATGCCACTTTGGTTGCTTTCATGTCCTGGCCACTGTGAATAGTGCTGCTATGAACACTGGTGTGCAAATATCTTTTTGGATATGGGTTTTCAAGCCTTTTAATTAATTTTTTTATGGTGACATTGGTTAACGAAATCCAATAAGTTTCAGCTGTACACTTTAACAGTAAGGCATATATACATTTACACGGTGTGATTGTGTTTTTTTGTTAATCTCCTACCTTGTTGATCTTATTGTTATAAAGGTTTTTGAGTTTATTTGCTTGGATATTCTACTTGGATTAACCTGTTGTTTGTGAACAATGACAATTATGTCTATGCATGTATATTTTACTTCTTGCTTTTTTTCCCTTTTCTTATTGAAATGACTGGGGAGTTTCTCTACACCTTTCTATTCCTGGAAAGTTTATATATTATAGGAATGATCTATTCCTTGATATTTTGGTAATCATTACACATAAAATATTGAATTTTTGGTCTTTTTCTGAGGGTTAAAACTTTGCCTACCTTTTCAATTCTTATTGTGGTTAATCAAATAAAATTCTTCTTAAGATAATTTTTGTGACTTGTACTTTTCTATATAAAAGCATCCACTTCATCTAAGTTTTCAAATATATTGGCATAAATTTGTTCATAATATTCTCTTATCATTCTAAAAATCACTTCCATGTCTGTAATTATATTGCTTTTCTTATTCCTGATGTTGTTGTGTCTTTTTAAAAAATTAGGTTTGAGGGAGCATTTGAGATCTTGCTCCCCAGAATATGTGGTCATTTGGGCTCAGATAAACTTATAAAAAGTCTCCATAGGTCTGGACATTTCTTACATCAACATTTATTTGATGCGGTGCAGCAGGATTTGGAAAAAGCCCACCCAGAACCACCCTGTGGACCCAGACCAGGCTCTAGGTACAGGCAAGGGCCCATTGTGCCCCACCGGCTCCCCGCTTCGCCTTAGGTGAACTTGAGTGAATCTCTTTAGAAATCC